CGGCGCAGGAGCTCCGCTAAGTTTGTCTCGGCGTGAAAGAGGGGAGTGCAATCCCTGGCACTGCCTCCCTTCTGCTGGAGGCAAGAGCTTAAACAGTCCAACCGCCGAGCCCGGCGACGCGGGGCAGAAGGAGGGAGCGAGGCTGCGTCCCGGCCTCTCGCCCCGCTCAGCAGCGAAGAGCCCTTTCTGAGCCGCGCTTTCGGCCCGCGGGCGGGACAGGTTGATGCTGGAAATGCTGGACGGCGTTCCCGCCGGGCAGGGAGGAGCAGCCACCTCGCGCTGCTTGCGAATCCGGCCGATGACTGGGATTTGGAGTTGACGCGAGCTTGAGCAGAAATGCTAATCTGGAGGATATACGTCACGCTGCTACCGTTTAGCAGCACAGCGTGGCTTATGTGTTTTTAATATCCTATTTTATCCTCTCTGACCCCACTTCCCATCCTTTTCCTTGCTCAGCAGACACCAAACACCCTTTTCTCCAGCAGGAGGGCTGTAGGAAGAGTGGTTACTGTGGAACGGCCTCCAAGCAGGCGTGTGTGTTTCTCGTGCATGTGTGGGCGCAAACACGCACACACACGCACGCACACGCACACACTTGCACACGGGCTGTACGGATGCATTTCCACACCACTCATGGTGTGGAACCTCCAGCAACACCTCCAGCTTTACGTCAACACAGGGGCTGACACACAACACCTCACCTCTGAACCTAACACCGGAGGACAGGAAATGGTTATCTGAGCCCGTGCAACTATTTTAGCACAAGCGGTACCATGCCAGGTCAGCCCGAAGGTCCCTCCGTCCCAGCCAAGCGGCTCTGGCGGTGGCCGCGAGCAGACGCCTGGGTGCAGAGAGTCTAGAGAGCTCCTTCCCTTGGCAAACTCCCTCCGCTTCCCACAATCAGCAGTTTGAAGGCTCCACGAGCCAAAGGTTGCATATGGACCAGCATGTTTAACAGTCACTGATGAGGTCTGCTGCTCTTTTCGGTTTAACATATTTCCCGCTTTGTTCTTTTTTAGCTCGCTTAGCACTTACAAGCATCAGGGGCCCGAATCCAAATTTACACCAATGTGATTTGTTGCTGACTTCTGCGAAGTCAAGCTTGATGGAAAGCAGAACCAGGACCGAGCCCAAAAGCTTCATCGCTATCAAATGCATTGCTGAAAGCATCTCTCAGTCCCCACC